GTGGTTGTCCACTTCAGCATTAACTCCACCGAGTTGATGCTGTCCACCCTCTCCGAAAGGGGGCGTCCGGCGGGGGGTCCTGCCGGCGGCCCCCGTGGGCCTCTGTCCGGGTCCGGCTGGAGTGCTCTGGGGTAGCCTGGCGTCGTAGTGGCATGTGAATGTGTCCTGGAATGCGACGCTCCTACGCGTGCTTTCCGGTTGTGGCTCCTCGTTGGAACTGTTCGAATCGTCTTGCCGCATATCTCTGTGTATGGCATTTTCCAGTGCCTTTATCCTGGCTGACAGGTTGTCCATTTGTTCCTGCACCTTGATGTTGGTCCTGACGATTTGTTCTACTATTTGGGTTAGGTTAGACGTATTTGAATTCCGCGAGTCTTGTACTTTCAATTTCTTCTCATTTTCTCTGGACCGGAAAATGAGGTCTTGAATCATCACCGCGAATGCCGGCGGGAGTTTGAACTGGCTGCCATCATCAGCCGTTATAGTAATTTCCTTATTACTATTTGTGTTTTCTCCGCTGTCCAGGGCATTCGCGATGTTTATCGCGGTTTTCTGAACTCGCGATATTACGTCCGCACTTTGCAATAGTTGGGCTAGCGGGTGTTCTCCCTCCTGCTCGGATGCTGTGTGTTCCTGGCATAGGGATACGATTAGCTCCGAGCGTAGGGCGGTTCTTTTGGCTGGACTGCTGTGTTGGTTGTCGACTTCCGCGAAATCTGCTGCGGAATAGTCGCCGAGTAACCAGTTGTGCAGTCGTGCAGCTCTCGAGAGCTTGGTCCCGCTTGTTTTGAGCTCCAGTTGCTCGAGGTATTCTTCGATTTCCTCCTCCTGGAGCGTCCATACCCAATTTTCTATCTCTGTCTGAGTGCGGTCCATGATTGTCTGTTTGTTTACTTGCGTTTAATTTCTTTGTAAAAATAAAGGTATGTTACGCGAGTGCGAGTGTTGTATTACAATTCGTATGCCGAGTGAAAAAATAAAAAAATTTTATTAGCCAACACTGGGCTTGATCAACGGCGTTTTACGAATTATTTGCCGAAAGATTCTTCGCTCGTTAATACGCAATATAATGATCCTGCCTATCAGACGCACTAACTGTTTGTTAGTACGGCTGTGTGAGTTAGTATCTAAAATATTGTAACGAGCGTTGTGCGTAGTCACCAATAACCGCAGTTAATAATATTAAAAAAAAACACATTTACGTTAAGACAATAAGATGTCAAATAAAATTACTTAATTGAATTAATTTTGTTTGAAAATTGCCGGTGTTAGTTTTCCCCGGGCCAACGGGTATAATAATATTATTTGCGGCAACTTTCAAAATTCGTTGGTGTTTACGCTTGAGAATCTTTCGGTCGCACTCGCACGCGTTCACAGCTATTATTTACAATTTTTCGCCGCGGCGGGCCTTCGCAAGCTAGCTAACAGGCTTTGTTTACTAACGTGACCTTCGGTATCAAGTGTGCACAACAACACTTGATTGCCACCTAAGTCGCTGGTTGACTGGGCGCGAGGTTACTATTGAGAACCGGTGTTTTGAACAATCAAAAACACCGTAGGTTCTTTTGCGTTGGGCGCCATGTAACGGGGTAAAACCGTTTAATTATTTTATGCGCGTAATTATACTAAAAGGACGCGCGTAATTATTTATGTTCAATACATAAATCGGAGAGCATGTGGAAACGTGCGTCAGTCAACCAGTAAGTCCTCTGATCTAAGAAAGGTGAGTGGAAGCTATATGAAATGAGCGAGTCGACAAATACTTGTTAATAACACGGACGTAGCCTTTTATTATCATTCAAACACTACATAAAGTCGGCCCGCGCGTTTGTTTACATTGACGCTCGCTCGTCGGCAACACGTATTGCCGATACGCTCGCTGCTCTTTGTTATTAGAGCCGATGCATGCACGCTTCGAATATCGGAAATTAATTATTAATCATGCAACCGCGATCGCGAAATTAAGCTGGCCAGCTTACCTTATTATTGCAGGCGATCGAAGGAAACACAAATAACTCGCACAGAGCGGAACAGTTTTGAATGTTTATCGCCGGTCGCGAACACGCGCACGCGGTTATGGTTTCGCCCTCGATGGCGAAACCTCCCACACACTTTCTTGACCTGGCTCCGAACTGGCAATCGTATGGCACCTCGGCGGCAACGATTATAGATAACTGGATGTTGCTGCTCTGGATATTCTTCTGGTAATCTAACTCAAGCGGCACTCGAATTGACAACGGCGAAATAGCAAAGGCGAACGGGCGTGTTGACAGTTGACGCTTCACTAGTTCGGTTTCAATCGCGCGCGTTCCGTCTGCTCGCGTGCCGAATTCCTTCGTTACGAATTTCGTCCCCCCGGCAGGTGCTGCCCTCACAGGCTACAATTAAGTTATATTATCAGCGCTAATTTGACGTTTACCGTCACAGTGCAATGATTGTTTGAGATTTTATGAATAATATAAAGACCATACAAATCAGGATTTTTGTTGGTTTTTCGCTTCTGACCCATCTTAGGTGGATGATATGCCAAAATCAATAGCACCATCGTGTTCTGTGGGAAAAAATATATCGAAAACATGTAACATATGTTCGAAAATGATATTAAATTACCCTGAATACAAAAGGCATAGCTGTCTATAGTGTGGATAAGGCTGACAGTCTTAGCAGAATATCATTTTTGCTGATTTAATAATGAGTTTAAACTATTTTTAAACGTATAATACATGTTTTTGATGTATTTTTTTCCGTAAAACACAATGGTGGTATTTATTTTATCGTAGGTTTAACCTACGCGGCTCTAAAGTAAAAAAACTGTATTTTTTATCGGTTTTTATTTTTTTTGAGGGGGTTCCACCACTTTTAAAAATCTGAAAAAATTCACAGACATTTCTGGACTATAAATACATAATATATATTTTTTTCAGAGATGAGTCTGTCTTTGTTTTTGAAATATCGCATTTTGAAATATTCGAACGGTTCTAAAAATTTGAATTTCCCGCCAAAATTTTTTCGAGTTACCCCGTTTTGTAGGGCTTAAAAAACTCTACAATTTAAAAAAAAAGAATTTTCTAGCTCAAAAATTGACTGAGATATCGTCGAAAAACTGAAAATCACAAAATAGGGCCTTATAAGGCCCCATTTGAACTTAGGGGTCTGAAAATTGGGGAATCTTAGTTGTTTTTCATGCTGAACAAGATAGTCTATCCACTTTTTCAGAATCGTTGGGGGCACTTTTGACCATCTTAATAGGCTAGACCCTTTGATTTGTTATGCAACGTGTTTTTAGTATGAGGTATTTTGTTAGGGGGGGGATTGTTCATTAGTGTTATTTTTGTACATTTTTGTGGGATTTTACGGAAGGAGATTGGTAACGGGTGAGGTCTTTCGGTGTTTAGCACCTGGTGGCTACTGCAATGTCTTGTAGTTACTTGTCAGTATCCTAAAAAAAAAAATAATGCGAAACAGTTGTTTTTTTTGTGTAATGTTCAGTGTTGTTATTTTCTAAAAGACTCTGATATGGGGCGGATCGAATTTCTTTTGCTGCGATTGATGTCTATTAGATTTTTTTCTATTTGTACGGCGTGTAAGCGTGCGTCTTGTAATTTGTTGTAAAAAATAAAAGGGCAAACGTAACGTCTGATTTCGTGTTTGAGGCCCTTAATAAAAATATAAATAGCTAATTTTTCTCTCTGAGTTTCGTCTTCAGTAACTTCAGATAAAAACATTTGCGCAGCCTTTCCCATGACAATGCATTTTTTTAAATATGTATTTATTCTGTGTCCGAATTCCATTGCGGATTCATCTTGCACTTGTGTTGATATACTTAATCTCTTTTTTTCTATTGTTAAGTCTTCGAGTAGTTTTCTTGTGGCTCTGTGATCCATGTTTTCAGACATATAGCTATTGTTGACCTTTATATTTTGTTGATTAATGGTGGAATTTCTGGTTCTGATAATACTGGATATATCTTTCTCTGTGTGTAGCTTGGTTTCTGGATCAATTGATCGTTACGTTCGATTTTAAAGATAGTAGTTCGCTCTTCGGGCTGTATTGCCGGCGGGACTTCCTTGTTTAGCTTGTCTGGGTTTGTTTCTCTTTCAGGTTTCCTAGCTAGGTAAAGTAGTAAGTTAGTCAAAGAATTCCAGAATACGCCAAGTAGGTGTATGCTAAAGCCATAGAGGGAATGAAGGGCATAACCCACTTGATATAATGATATCAAGGACAAATTTAATTGCTCTAAAGATCATAAGGATGGCCAAAACAGCGGCACTCGCTGATCCGAATGTAATGAATCGACTCCACAGTAGGGATGTTCGATTCCACCGAAAAGTATCGATTCCAATAATCGACTGGAAAAAAAGAATCGATTCTTGAGAATCGATTATTTTCTAAAAGAATCGAAGAATCGGTGGAATCGATATCTTGTGTTATTATTATTTAAAAAAAAAACATTTTTCCACGTGTATAAATGACGTATTATAATTAAATTACAAAATTTAGTGGATCACAAAAACTCAGTAAGGAACGATTAAACATCAGACGTATATTAAAATGATTTTTATTCAAAAGAGAATGGGCCATGATGTACAAACTGTGGAGTAAAAGAGCTCCTTTGACCGTTCCGCTGAAAAAAATGAAAAAAAAGGGTAAATATTATGTTATGAGTGAGATGAATGTAATACGCACACTGAGTGAAGAAATGTTACAGGTTAAATGTGTTATTGTATAAATTCTCATTTATTATGAAACTAGATAAAAACACATTAAATACATACCAAATGATTTTTTAAAATGATTGAGAACAGAATACATAGAGAATCGTTAGATTTGTGAGCATAGGAAACAGATGAGTACCAATTACCAATGAGTTACAAGGTTTGTGGATAGCCGATGAAATAAATAAGATAAATAAATTAAAAAAAAAAATATATATATATATATATAAAATATTTTTAAAAAGTAACACCTATACTACTAAAACATAGACTACATAGAAATATTCAAGAAATTCCCCATTCTTCTTTTGTACAAGAAGTCAAAAAAACCAACATATTTAAATGCATATCCGTAAGTTGAGATCTATTTGGAGTATCAATCAATCCCGCTTTCGAAAACTGACGTTCGGATGGGACTGTAGTTGCAAGGTTAGCTAATTTTTTGAAAGCTAATTTTGCTAATTTTGGGAATTGAGCCCCTTTAGATTGCCAATATTGTAAATGATTTGCTTGTCGCGGAAGCAGAGGTAATTTCAAACAGTGCTTCAGCTCTTCATCTAAGTCTGAATCTCTTATGGTTGTCACTCTATCCTGATGTTGAACCAATAACGAGTCATGAGCCTTCCAAATATCGTCACCTTCACCTATTTCTACAAGCTTCTTGTGTGTAGATTGTGCGGGTTTTTGTTTCTTCAATTCTCTGTCTATACTGCGAACAGCATCAGCAGCAGCTTGCATTTGATGAAAATGGAGTTTTTTAAATCGAGGATCTAAAAGTGTTGCAATACTGAGAGAGGGAACCTTTTCCACGTGAAATAATTTCTCTTTCATATTTTTGATTACGTTGGCCTTGAATTCTTTTCCAACGTCTGTACAAGGATGAATCTTATTAATCGTTAGTTCGAGGCAATTTACTATAGGAATGATGATGCTGCATGTGGGATATTTATCTCCACTGATATCTCCGATAACTTTCGCAAATGGCTTCATGATGGGTAGAATGTCTGTTAAAATCTCCGATTCTTCTGCGCTTAAAGAATTCACGCGATTTTTCTTCAGTTCGCGTAATGCCATAGGTATATACAATTCCAAAGATAGATATCTGTCCAGCATATCAACTGTTGAGGTCTACCTAGTCGCACAATCTTGCGTAAGCCTGAGAGCTTCTTTTCGATTAGTTACTTCCTTATTTGCAGTGTCATCTATTTGACTTTGAATCAACTTATCTGTGGCAACGATACTGTGTCTAATAACACATACAATGCTTTTAACTTTGACAACGATATCATCTAAAGCAGGTACCAACTTCACAGAGTTGGGTAGTATGTGAGAGCACGCGTGTGCTACACAAGACAAGTATCGACTCGAACCAACGATACTTATGGCTGATTTTTTAATGCTTGCCTCTGAATCGGTAAGCATTAAACTTATTTTATTTATGTCAATATTGAATTCTGATAAAATAGTTTTGATTGCTGATTGTAGATAGTCAGATGTGTGACGATCGTACAAAGGAATACATCCGAGACATACACTTTCATATACTAACGTTTTTGGATCCAGGTAGTGTATAGTCAGTCCCATGTAGCTCTGATTGGATCGGTCGGTCCAGTTGTCTGCTGTTACACAATAGCTGGAAGCCTGTTGCAACTTTTCAACCACACGATTTTTTAAAAGCGAGTATTTTCTCTCTAGGCGATCGGTGATGGTTGATCTCGATGGGATCTTGTAGAGTGGAAATCCTTTTTTCATCAATGCTCTAAAACCTGGATTCTCCACAGTTGAGAGAGGCATCTTACCGATACATATCATGTGTAGCACCAAATTCGTTACTTCATCCTCTTTTACACCACCATCTGTAAATAAAATGAAAATTAGTTGAATGTGCATATAAAACTAATCATTATACTGCATAAAATAAATTTACCTTGGAAGTTCTTCAGATTTTGGAAAGCCGATGTTATACTTGGAGTCAATTTCACTTTTATTTTCTGTAAATATCAAGTTAATCAAAGATTCATTCACGTACCACGTATTTTAAATCATTTTCATATATTACTTACAGGAACTTCTGCGGGCGAAAACGGTTTTTTTGATGGTTGAATATTGCTTTCCGATGAAATAAGTTTTCTTTTTGTTGATGAATGGTTTTTTTTTTGAGATGTTTTAGGTTCCTCTATTATTTCATTACTTTGAGAAAAAAACAATGAATGTTTAATTTTTAGATGTTTTGTCATATTCGTAGTATTTTTTTTATCTACGAATTTTAATTGGCAGTATGAGCATACTAAATAATCTCTATTTCCTTCCGTAACTCTTGTGCAATGATTCCATATGACACTAATTTTTTTACACCTAAAAGAAATCATTTGTTACATTGAAAAATTAATTAAAAAGTTTCGAATTAATTAAGTACAACTTACTTTGTGGTTTCACAACTGCCACGTTGAGAAGAACAAGAATTTTCTATTGAATTTAGAATATTTTCATTTGGTGAGTCTTTGTGTCTAAAATCCTTCAAGTGTTCTTTGAAACTGACGTTGGAATCTGAATGATAGAAAAAATATTATAAAGTGCTATATTTCACGTTAATCATTATCGTGCTTTTCAGATGATCTTACTATTTGATCCAATCGAGTTTACTTTGTCTGTTCTCATATGATGACCTTGACACAACTCGCATGTTATGTCAGGTATAATACTTATTGATAGATCATAGTCATCCCCTTTTTCATTTGCATCAATAGGTTTTATGACTGGAACACTAAACAGGTAACGCCCCTGCTCACACATCGTTGCTTGTGCGCGAATTTTTGGCTAAAACCAACACAGTAACGATGCCACAGGCACCGTATTTCCCAGATCTGGCCCCCTGTGACTTCTTCTTGTTCCCAAAACTGAAGAGGCCCATGAAAAGACGGCGTTTTGCCACGATTGAGGAGATAAAGACGGCATCGAAGGATGAACTAAACAAAATCACAAAAAATGATTTTTTGAAATGCTTTGAGGATTGGAAAAAGCGTTGGCACAAGTGCATTATATCCGAGGGGGATTACTTTGAAGGAGATAAAATAAAAATTGATGAATAAATAAATATTTTTTGAGAAAAATAAAAATTCACCTTACTTTTTGATCACACCTCGTACGTATGTACAACATAACCCGTATGATAATAATAATCAAATTCATATATCACCAGCTAATGTAAATGAGAATTGTACTCTTACCCTCATTTTGACGGTGCTGTGCAAAAGGGTCCTCCATTCGTACATAAGAGAATCGCTAGTAAAGGAAATGTAAAACTGTAAAAATTTGAGGTTAAATGAATAAAATTCCAGGTACCAGTAGATATAATTTTAAAAGCTTACTTTGGTTTGGTAAAACAAGTTCTTGTAGATGTTGATCCTCGAAGCGGCGATTATGTCCGATTCAATTATTTTTTCTTCTATATCGTGTAACGGCCTGTGAAATAATCAAATTATTTTCGCGGTCAGTTAAGAATTTTGTTTTCGCTGTTCGGTGCGGGGCTCACCGCCGCCCCGATCAGCTAGCCGCTTCCTGGCGTTCCGCCGAATACGGGTGGGCACGCGCTGGCCTGAAAAAGGGATCGCGAAAGCATGGCTAAGCACGAGAGCGTGCGTGGGTTCTAATCACGGGCGTGGGAAGGGACAGAGGTGCCTTCCTAGGTACGCCCAACACAACGACAACACTAGTGCAGGTCAAATCGGGCTTTATTCTTTTAGGCAAATCTTATACACAATATCGCGTGCCGAGATTTCGCTATCAATGTTATTTTAGAGAGAGAGACGCTCGCTCGCGCAACTATCGCACGCTAAATAATCGCTTGCAAACGCAACGAAACTCACCGTGAAGTAGCTGCTGCAGACAGACTACCCCTCGCTAGTCGCCCGCGATGTCGCCCTTGCTCGGGCGGGCAAGTTCTGCCCCTGGTGATCGCCCACTCGAGGTGACGATCTACAGGTTCCGGCGATCCTCGGGGATGGTCTCTACTTCCTTGCGCACTTTCACTTTTGTCTCTTGCCGGTCACTCTCCTTTTTCTTTCGTTCGTGCGCGCACGTGACGATCCTTCGAGCTCGCCGGTCTAAGTCCAAGTCCCTCTAAATCGTTTTCTCTCCCCACTCTCTGCTACGGCACGCGCCTGATCGAGTCTCGTTCTGTCTCTCTCTCTTCACTCCTCGCTCGCTCGCCCGCTTCGCCATGCTCGGCCTCGCGCGCGGACAATCTTCCGCGAAAACGGCCCCGGCCGTTATAATCGACATAATTGGCGGGAAATTTTAAAATAAAAAAATTCAAAAATATAAATATGTATTTTTTTATATTTTATTGCATAATATGCTGTCTGTATAATAAATCTTAAAAATATCTTAAAAATTGTCTCATAAAATATATTTAAAAAATAATCTTCAATCTTCGGAACTCTTTATATAATTGGTACTTATATACCGATAGACCAGAAATTTCAATTTGTTTTCTTCTCATTTTTTCCAAAATAAAGTAATACCACTCTTTGAGGTACTCATACATTCTGCACACATCAGTAACTGTTAAAAATATAAAAAAAACATGAACTCACTGAAAACTTCATAACTACTAATTTTCTAATTGTCAATATGATGATTATTACCATTTGGTTTAACATCATCACGAATGTAAGGATTCTTCTGCAACTCTTCGGAGACGTACAACATACACTTGTTTTTAACTGCCTTCATACTCATCAAACTAAATTCTTTCGCAGATTTCTTTTGCACTTCTCGAATTAAAAAAAAGATTTGGTTATGCAGCTCTATTTCTTCTCCCCTAGTAAAATCTATTTTCGTAACGCCTGACAGCTTTCTAAACTCGGCCATGATGATGATATAAATTTTTGCAAATAAAAAAAGCAATAATTGTTCTTTGTTATTGGTACTGATTACTGACAATGAGTGATGACACTATACACAGCGACGATCCGACAGAAAGTGACAAAGTGTAAAGTGTCGAAGTCGATGACCGAGTCGAGTTTTCGCACAAAACAAAAAACGCTGTGTTTACACCGCCCAATAATCCTTTCTTAAAAGAATCCTTTCTTAAAAGAATGATGGATAAAAATGCGTCGCCGACATCCAGCAATCTCATTGGTTGGTGCATAAAAAGGCGCAAAAATTTGAATCTCGACATTTTGAAATGCTTCGACTATCAAGCGCATGCGCTGTGACGGCGTTGAGTTCGATTCGATTCGATTCCCAGTCAGAAAAGAATCGAATCGATTAGAATTGAGTCGGAAAAGAAACGACGCAATAATCGATTCTTCACAAAAAGAATCGACTACTTTTTTAGGAATCGACTGGAATCGAACACCCCTACTCCATTGCGATTCCCACGTGGAATTCGCAATACGATTCAGGGTATCTTCGTCGAGTAGTTTAGATATGGATATTCCCGGGGCTAGATTGGATTTTCCAGCGAAGCCGAACGCGATTTGATTAAGGACCGCGTTCCGTTCTGTAAGGAACATTATAAACGTGCGAAGGTGTTCGATGTCGTTATATGTGTAAATTCCGCTTGTTGCCGTGTTTATGGGGTTATTATATTCCCAATTTTGCTTGGCCTGTGGTTTGATTATGTGTGGGGTTTCTTGACTAGTGACATCCGGAATAACCTTTACCCATGAGTCACCGAACTTATACATTACCGACATTTTAGTATCGCAAGCGGTTTTGGTTCCGTATTGTTTTATTATATGCGTACAAGGTGTGATAAACATCGGAGTCTCACCGCGCGTGACCAGTAATTCTTGGTAGCACGTTTCGGCCTTTCTAGCCTTGACTTCTGCAGGTACGTACTTGATAATGTGTACTGCTTCACCCGCCATCATGGCCATGTATCCGGGTTCTCTCATTAAATAATATGCTAAAAGTTCCGGTGATAAAGTGGCAATATTTAATGCATTCGTAATAACTTTTCTTTCTAATTCGCATTGCTGTAGTAGTACGTCATGGTATAATTTTTGCAAATGATTTTTGATATGTTTTTCAACAAATAAAATTTTTAAATTTACATAAGTGAAAAGATCTAGATCGTGCATATTTTTAACTCTGTTAGAAATAAA